ATTATCATACCATAATTTTCTATAACAACAGATAACTTGAGTCCTTAGCATATTCATTATAAATCTTTCCTGATATATTTATTTCCTTCTTGTGACCACTAATGTCCAACCTTCAAAGTTGTCTTATAAGTTTTTTTCCAAACATAAATAAATGTTTCTCACAGGAAGATTTCTTTTTTAACTTAAAGTTCTTAAATCAAGTTCATTTGAGTCCTTAATCTTTTTAAAACTTTATTTAAAACAACAACAACGAATCATCCTTTTGCTGTATGTTGAAAAACTTTTTTATAGATATCAGATTTAGAAAGTTTTTTTAAAAAAAGGTATCGAAGAAAATAGTGATTTCATTAACTATTGATTCTCAAACTACTCAATCTTTCAGATGCAGTGGGGGGAAAAGTCCAAAGTGATTAAAAGGTCAGCCTCAGTCTAAACTAGAGCCCATATAAACTACATTAACAGCTATAAGCACAATGGGATCCTGCAACTTCCAGTTGGCAACAAGTTGACTGCAAAAATCAGTTCCTGCCATACGTTCATTGTAAAATAGATATTCAGAGTACATGTAGGTAAGCTTAAGATCTCTTTCTTAGGAAAAATTCTGGAAATCCAAATCCAGCATTTACATACCATTTTCAGCCACAATATTATCTCTCTATTTCTATTTCCTTTATTTCACAGGAAGCCCTTCTTTTCTCACTTTGGATTTAATTTTTTTCACTGCTTTTTATAAATTGAGAAACTTCATAATAAAAATGTTTTATTGTATTCAATGGGTGAGTGTTCTTCAATTCTTTAAGAATGAGGTTTTAATTATAAATTTAAGGTTTAGGGGGAAACATTCAGCAAAGGGTGATTGGGGTGCTGATTTTAGAAAGTTTTAGGATTCAGATGGACTCAAATTAATGACTTTGAAATCAATTGAACCCTTCCTATGTGAAACTTTTCATGTTTACATTTAGGAACAAAAATAACAGTTAAGATGACTTTAAGGTTGATCACTAAAAGGAAACAAATATATTAGTGGATCTAATGAAAGGGAATGAATACTGAATTAAGAAATAATTTCAAAGATAGCCACTATTATAGATAAACTGAATGGAATCATGGGAAAGGAATATGTTTCATTACATAAAACTGAAATTGATTTCAATGTGCAATTTAAAAAAAGATGAAATGCTGGATATAGAAATGAAACCAGCTGATGTTTTAATAATTAAAGACATGCAAATACTAAAGTAGACGAGTGATGCAGAGAAAGGGCCTTGTTAAACTTGTCAATTATTTTATAAGAGGAGACAGTGAGAATATAAAGTGTGACTTGGATATTCTGTTTATAGTGGACTTGTTAAAGTTTTCAACAACTTTGAGACAAGAAACAGAGTGTGAAAAGAAAAGAGATGTTAGGATGTTATCTGGAGAAAATAAGATTGTTGGAAGAAAGGAAACAATACAAAGTTGGTTTATTTGATCAAGGTTAAAATGAATGGGTTGCTATTCCTAGTAACATTTAATAGATTCTTGCTTACTAGGACAGGATGAAGATATTGTACAAGTTTTATATAGCTAGAAGAAACGAGAGAATCCATGTGCTGCATTTTAAAAGCCTTCAGTTAATAAAAGTAAGGGAAGGACTTCAAGTACATTTATTAGCTATAGTTTGTAACAGTTATGTTGTTATTTCTGATAACTCTTAATGAACTTCTGCTGATTAAGAGAGCACTGCTTTAAAGATTTGTTTGTGGATAATGGGTAATATTTGGGATGAAGCACTGTCTACTCTATTTTAAGATATATTAATTAATTGTTAATGTTCATTTTATTGCTGGGGATGAAGGAGGATTCTTTTTCCTCCACTTTTTTATTTTTCTATTTTCTTGTCTATTTATGGTTTTATCTTTTGTAATCTTAGATTTGATAAAATGTAGTGAGTTGTATTTGGAAATATACTGGCAACCAATGTCCCATCTGCAACAAAGAAATAATAGAGATAAAATGGCTCTCAGCTTTTAGGATGGCAGCCTACTGCATTTTGCATCAGTCAAAATTTCGAGGTAATCTTCAAGGGCAGTTCCAAACAGAGTTTACTGCAATAATCCAATTAAGAGGTAATGAAGGCATAAGTGACTGTTGCCAGGTCCTTCCACTCCAAATGAGATACAACTGACATATGATGCTGAAGCCGAATTACTCTCCTGGCCATGGACTCTACCCTCTTTTTCAAGTCGAATGCAATAGAATACAAGTGACAGGTCTACTCTTTCAGGAACTGTATAATCTAATTTAGAACCAGCATATATACTATCAAACCTAGCAGTTTCTGGACAAAGATGAACTTTGTGTTGCTAGGATTCAACATCACTTTATTTGCTCCCATCTATTTTTTTTTTTTACTCATCTAAACATCTGGTGAGAACATCGACAGCAGCAGTGGAATGTATAGCTAGGATACATCCATATACTGATGATATCTCATCCCATACAACCAATGATCTCACCAAAAAGAATAACAAAAAGTGAAGACTTTTATGATCAATGCTTTCTAGTGATTAAGACTACATTTGTTTATCTTAATCATTGCTGGTACAGGCTTTTTCATTTAATTTAATTTCATTCATACTTCAGTATTCTTGTCCACACATGTATATTCCTTATCTGTTCAATGGGCATATGCCATTTCTACAGTATATAGAGAGGAGATCATAAGGAGGAATGCAATATTACAATATTAGAAGTCATATGAATGCATATGATACAGTCATAGGACTGTGCACACTTGGAAAGGGATTTGGAAAAAGTGCTTCTTGCATCTTGCAAAGACAGCACAACTCTATTATTCATTGAGACTGAGCGTGACTTTTATCATACATCTACAAGGCATTGAAAAATGTATGACACTGTTTCAAGAGTTGCACTAAACCTAATGAATAGACTTTCCTGTAAGCCTGAAAAAAGTTAGGCTGCTTTAATGTACAGCAGAGAAATACATAAGGTCCCATCTATTTTTTTTACTCATCTAAACATCTGGTGAAGAACATCTACAGCAGCTCCTGTCTGGCAGTGGAATGTATAGCTAGAATACATCCATATACTGATGATATCTCATCCCATACAACCAATGATCTCACCAAAAAGAATGAGGAATCTTCTGTAATCCTCTGAAGTCTGTTCCTGCTTAGTGACTCTGCTACTGAGTGCATGCTTTGTGTTCATGCACACCTGAGGTGCGCCCACGCAGCACTAAAAAATGAACATTTTGAAGCCTTCCGAGTCTGCAAAGGTAAGTAGAACAGCGAGGGGAGGGGGGAGAATCTGCTGTGCCATGCGATTTAGATTAGCTAGAAAGCAGGAAATCCAACGATTCTAATGAATATAAATCACGCGTCACAGCTGACCCTCGCCCAGCTGATCGTCGGAAATACCGGTTCACCCGAACTGGTAGCATTTTTTACAACTGGTTCATGCAAACCAGTACAAACTGGTAGCATTTCACCTCTGCATGAGATCTAAAGCATTTCTTCAAAATCATTTTCAATATATATACAGCATACTTGATAAGAATATATAAAATTTTTGTACCTAAATAGCAACAAGTAGGCATCTTGATATTTCAAGCCTTCTAATCTGGGTAAAGATAAGTCTTTTTACTCTTATTAGATTCTGCACTTTTTTCAGACTTATTCATTAGGTTTAATGTCTTTGCTTTATGATAGTGAGTACAATACTGCAAAAGACATGTGGGGTAAGGCAACTGATTGATTTCCATGTAAGCAGAGATAAATGGAACTGTAAACTGCAATAAAGGTAGCTTAATGTTAAATGCGTTCATGTTTGGTCTCAGTGAGAAAATTCAAAAAGTATTTGTGGTTGTATACTGAGATTTTTGGTCAAAAAACACAGCAGAAAATATTCCTTCATATATTTCCACTAATTTAATTTACCATCAAACAGCCTGAATTTTTTTGAGAGTTGTCTTTAGAAATATAACTACTGACATTAGATACAAATATCTTGTATGAGAACCCATACTAAATGTAAGAATAGGTGCAAGAAAGCCCTGTTATTTTCTACAGTAGAAATAATTTTGAGAAGGCCATGTATCTAAAGATATTCTGCTTTGGCATTTCTATTTAACAGCATATCGCTTGACATGAAGTAAAATTCTAAGAATTTATTAGTATGAAAAGGAATCAATTATTCTTTCTAAGAGATGGTAGACTATCATCAATAGTTCTTTTATTGCTGCTCACAACTGGAACTATTGATCATGCTGTGAAGTCCTAGAGGGAACAAAGGTGACCTGCTGTCCTCCATTATTTTGGACTTCAATTTTTATCAATCACAGGTCAATGCAGGAGAATCTGGGAGACTAAATCATCTGGAAGGACCCAGTGATTCAATTATCTTTTAAGTACTTCTCTTTTTGCCCCTCCTTTTCATCACCCAAATTTCTACTTTTTCAGAAGCAGAGACAAAACAGGAGGTTTCACACAAAAGGTGTTTATTTACTTCTAAGCTGAGCAGGATGGTTCCAGCAAAAACAGAGTGTCATTTTCAATTCAGATTTAGAAAGGCACTGGTATGTCAGCTGCGCTGGCCTTAATTACCCTCTTCATTTGGGAAAAATAGAATGTTTTGCTGATGAAGGAGACAGCTGAGTTAGAAGTGCACATCAGCAGTCTATGTAATCTTAAATTAAGAGTTTGGCAAAGCTTGGGAAGTTTTTTAGGTTGCTACATTAAATCAAACTTTCTAGAATGCAGTTTCTAAAAAAAAAGTTAGTATATACTGTTCCAGTTTCAGAAAACAGTTGATTTGTCTGGATCGTTGCTTTATTTTTGAAATAGCTAATCCAAAATTTAGCTCAATTTAGTTCAGTTGTAAATTTAGAATAACAGAGCTTTTGTTGTTCAATCTTTGGATCATAGATCCTTTTGGGTATCAACATAAATAAATAATAATTTGGAACAAAACTAACATTATAAGCCATACGTACTTACCCACAGGAGACATTTCAGGCACTCCGGCAGTGTAAGGACCATCCAGAAATTTAGGCTCATTGTCATTGATGTCCTGAATCTTAATGACGAATTCCGACTCGGGCTCCACAGGTTTATTTGTCAGTCTATCTAGTGCTTGTGCACGGAGGGTGTAGTAGGCCTGTTCTTCCCGATCAAGCCTCTTTGTAGCATGAATATCCCCTGTGTTCTCATCAATAATGAAAATGGAACTTGCCCCCTCTCCTGACAAGATGTATTTGATGGAGCCGTCGCCTTTATCAACATCAGAGTGAAGCTGGTAAAAAAAAATTGATGAGAGATGAGATTACAGGACAGTTGGCGATATGAATATATGTTTAAAAATAATCTGCATGTCATGCCTTAGTACATAAAATTGTTCTTGGGAAATTAAGGCAAAATGTTGAATGTGCACAGCATGTGGCAAATGATAGGAAGCTTTCAACTAACTCCCCTTTGTCAGACAGTGCCATGTCATATCCAATCTTATTTTCAAAAGCTGTCGGGTCAGATGAAGCTTTTTCTGAGAACACAGTTGATTTTACAAGCCTTGGTAATCTAACACAATTTACTCAAGAGTAATCCTGATAAAGCCAGCTGAAATCCTTTGAAGAAATGCAGCCTGAGTTTTGCATTCCTTCGGGAAGCAATGTACCTGCCTGCTACATAAAACTTTTAATATTTAGGTTTCTCCAAGTCATGAAAAAATAAAACAATGAATAAGCATACAATCTCCATCCCCCTACGTATTTATTACAGTGGTTTATTAATAGGAAGTATGTCTATTTCCACTTTGAAAGATCACAGAGCTGAACAGGAAGCCTAAATAGTTCCTCCTGACATCATTTTTATTTTTAAAAAGGGCAGCATTTATAAACCATAAGCATGAAATAAATGTTATTAATGTATTTAAGTAGAGATACTAGCTAATCTACTTCATCAAGTTTCATTGTGATATCGTCTCCAAATCCGTCAGAACTTTAATCCTAATATGCCACTCCCTTCAAAAGACCAAGCTTTTGAGGGAATACTCTGTAAGTACAAAAAACTATCCATATGTTAGACTGTTTGTAACCTTCAATTAGATAAAACAGTGCATCACAAGACAACAATTTTTGAATCTAGGTACATCAAATATGCTGTCAAATAATTATGTAAAATATCTGGGATTCATTATCCCTGTTGAAGTGATATTTCAAAGATCCTCAGATAAATTTTATTTGCAAACTTGTGGTTACAGCACAAGTGTGTTACAGTGTGTGTGTGTCTATGTGTGTATATATATATATACAATATATATATATATATATATATATATAT